AAAAAAAAAAAAAAAGAAAATCTTTATCACAATTCATCCAAACTTCAGGGCTCTCCCCATAAATTCAACAATCTTCACCAAATCAAAAAGTGATCTTTATTCATCTCTGCATAAAAACAGAAACCGAAAAAAAAAAAAAAAAAGAAAGAAACACCCAACTAATAATTCAATCAATCAGTCACCTGTCGCGAAAGCTGTGGGCTCAGGTGGCGGTGGCCGTCGAGCGCCGCCGTGACGTCCATCCCGGCCGCGCAGAAACCCTCCATGCCGGCGGCCCCTGCTTTCAGAATCCGGCAGGCCTCCCACAGCCTCGAGCTCTCGTCCATGTACTCGTCGAGCCACTTTTCGCCCACCGGAAGGTGAAGCTTCTGCACGAGCACCGTCAGCCGGTCGTGCGACGACCTCAGCAGCGACAGCGCCCTCTGCACGAACACCACCGACATGAAGTCGCTCGACTGGAACACGCTCTCCAGTTCGTCGACGCCCCTCGTCAGGAAATCGTAGAACGAGCCGATTGGAGAAGGGTCCATGAAATAGAGAAGATTATAATGAAAAATCTTGATGAAAATGAATAAAGATTGGATTTTTATTGTTGTTTTTTTATTTTTTTTCTAATGGTGTTTAAAGGGTCCATGGATCATAGGATGGTTTGAAATAAAGATGGAACCAAAATCTTGATGAAATTAATAAAGATTGGATTTTTATTGTTGTTTTTATTTTATTTTATTTTTTTTCTAACTGTTAGAAGGGGAGGGAGGAAAGAAGGTGCAAATGGGTGTGATATTTAAAGGGGGGTTTTGCCGCCGTTGTGGTCCTACTCGACTCGATTCTGGATTAATTGATTTCTCTGTGAATTCGGAAACCGGAAGGTCTTGTACCCAAAAAAAAATCTTGAATTGGAAGCACATCAGAGGTTAGTAATGGGGGGTGGGGTGAAAAGGATTGTTGGGGGCAATGATGGGTGTTTCCTACACAGGGGAAAGGATCATTGGTTTCTTTATCTGCCATTTTTAT